AAGAAGATGAGGAGAAGGTCACTGCCGCAGAAGAGGGTGCTGCTCCTCAAACTTCCGCCTCCTCAAACTGGACCACCAAATATCTGCAGTGCATTGAGCGGAACAAACTTCTGACCAGTGAACTTGAGCGTGTCACTCATGAGCGCGCAGAGTACAGGGATCACATTGACCGACTGGAGGCAAAGCTGGCTGAGTCTCGGGACCGACTGAAGGACTACGTACGAAAGGTGGAGCTCATTGAGGAGCTGAAGAATGAGCTGATCAACAAGCAAAACTCCATTGATACGCTTAAATCGAAGTTTGACCAGATCAACAGCATCAACCGAGACCTGGTAGGCGACATTGACTCGAGCAAGCACAAGGAGGGCGAACTGCTGGAGTACACCGAACGACTGACTGCCAAGCTGGTCTCCCTCCAGTCAGAGCACAACATTCTTACGGAAAAGCTAAAGTGCACCGAAGCACAGTGCCAGCAGCTGAAGGAGGACCACGCCAAAGTCAGCGGCTCCGAGGAGAGGATAAAGTCTGAGTTTGAGGGTTATCGAGCCGATCAGGAGGCTCAAATGGGCCGCCTGAAGCAGTCACTCGAGGAGAAGGTCACCGAAACGGAGGAGCTAAAGCGAAAGGTGGACGAACTGGAGAATGACATAAAGATCATCAAGCGCAAGCACATTACCAGTCTGAAGGAGCTGAACAAGGAGATTACGGTGCTGAAGCGGGCACGCGATGAGGTGCCCAAGGTAAAGGTGGTCGCCAATCAAAATCATACGGACGCCGGCTCGTCGACACTGTCCTCCCGAACAAACTCCTTCAACTCACTCTCCGGTGAGCTGAGTCCTAGCAACTGTGATAGCAGCAGTCCGGCTGCAGGTGGGGGAGGACATGATCACCAGCAGCAGCACAAGCACCAGAATGGTCGACTGGAGGCTGGTGCAGCTGGTCCGACCAGCCATGCACTACCTTCATCACCCTCTGCAGTGTCATCCCATCATCATGCTGTGAGCAATACGACCTCCCTCTCCGACAGTACCACCTCGTCCTCGTCCTCTGCCGGCGATCAGCTGATCACCACTCTGGCGGACATTGACAAAAACTCACTTATTGAGCGAATCCTCCGCCAGCAGCGAACGCTGATCAAGCGCAATGAGCGCATCGAGTTTCTCGAGGAGCACAATGAACAGCTGACGGAGGAGGTGAGGAAGAAGCGAAAGCTGCTGCAGTACTACATTCTCAAGGAGGAGGCGGGGGCGTTGGCCACTGAGACCATGGACAAGAATAAGGTGAGGAGAAAGTCGTTATTTTCATTCATTATTTCTAAAACTCCTTTTTCACTGCGTTTTCAGGCGTACCTTTCGAAGCGCGGTGGTGGCATTATGGCCTCGCTGTACAACTCCTCATCCACCGATGACACCATGACGCTGGAGCGGTCGCTGGAGATCAACAGCAAACTGCACGCCGTCCTCGAGGACACTCTTCTGAAGAACATGACCTTGAAGGTATTTGTGATACGGTTGGGGTTTCAATCTGTTCTAACCCAAACCCTTTTTTGGTCCTAGGAAAACCTGAACACTCTTGCGGGTGAAATTGATCGTCTTTCAAAGAGCAAGAAGTGAAACAGCAATTCTTGCTCTACCTGACCACCGTACCTCTTTTTCTCCGTTTCTTCCATTACCCCGACTTGAAACTCTACAAACTCTACTTTCCATTTTAGATGTGATAACTTAATCATGCGTACCACCACCACCTCAAGCTCACCAAATGTTTTCCCATGTACAAAAACATCACTGCAACTGTACATAAGAGATAAGAAAATATATAGTTTTTATTTATTTATTAACAAACTCTAGTGGATTTTTCCGTGCGTCAAAATTCGTCCGTGTGAGTCTTTCGGTGTTTGTGCAGGTGGGGCATCTGTTTGAAGCTTGCCCGGCAGCCGTCAATGTCGCAGATGTAGGGTCTCTCTCCTGTGTGGGTGAAATGGTGGTGTTTCAGTCGGTTGCTATCCTTAAAGGTGGCCGTACAGTTCGGCCAAGAGCATGCATAGTTTTTAATTTGTTTGTGAGAGAAGTTGATATGAGCGAACATGTCACGCTTGGTGACAAACGCCGAGGTGCATCCCTCCCAAGTGCATTTAAACTCACGAATAGCGCGATGACGTTTCTGGTGCTCGTCGTAACAGGTGCGAAACTTTGTTGTGTAGCTGCAGCCATAAATATCACATGCGTAGATCTTTGCGCTATTCGAGTGAACATTTTCCACGTGATTGGTAAGATACTTTTGTGCTGCAAACTCCTTACTGCACTCGGCACAAACGTAGAGTATTGAGCTTTTATCTTCCTTCTTTGAGGTATCGGTGCCGTCGTGATTAGTGATGTGCCATATGACGTCTTCCTGCGAAAAGGCGATGTAATCACACTTGTTCTTTGTGCAGCGATAGGCTTGCAAGTCCTGATTAAGGTGACCAATTTGACTGCGATCACTTTGGTATTTAGTCAAGCCGACAATAGTGTCATCATCAGTGTCGTCAGAGTCATTATTATTATTGCTGGCAGAAGATTGCTGGTGGCGTTTGGTAACTTTGATTCGCTTAATATATTGTCCCTGTTCAGTATCATGCTGTTCTTTTCTTTTTTCGCCTTTCTGCGTTTCATCCCACAGGTCAGTCAGCGTCTTGATGTCAGAGTTGTCATCCAAGGCGTTCAACAGAAGTGGGTTGTTGGATGAAAGGTTGCTCAGAAAGGTGTACTTTTCCTCCAACTTTTTCGAGAAATACTGGTAATCAAAGTTGACATGGCATCCGCAAGATTCCTCATAGCAGGACATCAAGTAGCGGTAATCTTCCAGCAGAATCATAAACTGCCTCGATATTTTAATGGCAGCTTTCATGTCTGCGCTCGTGTCTTCCGACGATTCGGTATCGTTCTCTTCCGCCGCCTTCACCGGCTCTACTTTAACGTCATCACTTGAATGTGGTGCAGATTCTTCACTGGTGGCCATGGTGGCAATCGATGGTAAAGGTGGGCGAAAAT